TGGACACTCCCCGAGGGGACCTTGTGGAAGACTGTAAAACATATTGGACAGTAGCCAATCGCAGTGGCTTCAATAATAGCCCTTCCCATCTTACCCACAAATCCGTCTTCTCTACCCCGGAGATAATTAGGAAGAAACCTAATTATCTCCCAAGGTAGAGACAATCGCCATTTTAACTTACAGTAATAAAAATACATTAAAATACATAACTGAAGAAATACCGAATGCATATAGTTCGTGTAACGTATCCCCAGACAGCCTGGATCTGAGTGCATGTTTTCACCGAATAGCGCTCAGATCCGATGTATCTAGTCGAATCGCCATGGAGTCAAAGTCTTTCACCAGTCCTTCGGTATACGAATGACTCCATGGGACGGCTGTCTGGGTAAAAGTCCATACGAATGAATAAAAACTCCCGAACGACCGACGTTCGCATGCCTTGTCGAAATGGAAGGTAGGCAGCAGCTTCCAGCGGTGTTCGGTAGTTTAAGTGTCCGTTTTTAGTTCCATACAGTTTGTACCGAACACCGCTATGCGTTCGTATGTCCCAAAATGGCCGCTGCCTCGTGGTCGACATGCGAACGACGACCACCCGTACGAATGGAATGGAGAGGTGTCTGCGGTTAACCACAACGTTCTAATTGGGGCCAAGAGGTTAACCAGCAGCACACTCCTCTCCTGGGTGGTCGTTCGTTCGGTAGTTTCAATCAGTAGTTTGCAAATTACATGAACGGGGGTATAGGAACAGGCAATCCAGCAATACAGATGAATCTGTCACACTGGTCCAGTGTTGGAGTACTGAAAGGGGAGCTTTAGAAGGCTGCTGGTCAGTCTGTGCATTTTACCACAGATTTGTGGACTGCACCAAGTGGCCAGCATGTCTTTCTTTCCCTTACAGCACACTGGTGGGAGTCTGGTGTGTCTCAGGAAGCTGCTGCTGCAACTTCAGCAGCAGTGTCTAGCAGAAAGGGAGGAAGCGTATCTGTAGATCAGCTGGGCTATCGCTCTTTCCTTCTCCATGCTGAAGTGGGGTTTGTGGTTACTGATGGAGCTACAAATATGGTGAAAGCTTTGCGTGATGGTAAACTTGTTGGTGTGCGCTGTGCAGCGCACATTATCCATCTAGTAGTAACATCAGCAATCCAAGAAGGTAATAACAGAGTTTCCAGTGTGATTGAACGGTGCAGGAGGATTGCTGGGCACTTCCACCGCAGTGTTAAGGCTAGCCAACTGTTGAGGCAGGAACAAGAGAAGGCAGGTCTTCCCACACACTGTCTACGACAAGATGTCAGTACACGGTGGAACTCTACTCTGGAGATGCTGGAGAGGATTTTAGAGCAGCAGAGGGCAATCCATAGTCTGGCATCAGACCAATACATCGATGTTGGTTCTCCACTAGGTAGAGACGATTGGACAGTGATCGCTCAGCTATGCCACTGAAAATTTAAGCTTGAACACTGCCAATCTGGGACAGGTAATCCCTGTTTTCACCCATCTAGGGAGCAAGATGGGTGTCTTCCTTGAACGCCACCTACGTGAGCAAATGGATAATTCTCCTGAACTGATGCTAGCTTGCCTGTGTGATCTAAGGATTAAGGGAAAGCTTGCACTCAGATCCAATAACTTAACAAATTGGAGGGAGAAATTGATCCAGAGGGTGTGTGACTGGCAGCAAAAGAGGGGAATGCTGTCTGATGGAGTAGTTCAGCAGGAGGTTGAGATGTCGGCTACTTCTAGCAGAAGCAGTGGCACTACCACCACCACCACCACACAACTGAGTGGAGCAGCTGCATTTCCGTACCTCTCTGAACCTCCTTTGCCCCATAATGTCGACCCTCTTAGCTATTGGGATGAGAAGAAGAGTGTGTGGCCTGCACTCATTGGTTGCGCAGGAGCTGCTATCATGTCCGCCAACCACTGTTCCAAGTGAGCGTGTGTTTTCGGTAACCGGTAATATACTGAATCCACAGCGCTCACAAATGTCACCTCATCTCATGGAGCAGATTGCCTTTCTTAAATTCAGTCTGCCTACATTGGGGTACTCTGCTCTACACTTTGACTGTAATTGAGCTTAGGGTTTCTCAACTTTCTAATTATATAAAGTTGGTGGCGACAAAATATTTATTTAATTTCTCTTTCCTCCTTATTCTTCCATTCTCCCTCTCTCCCCCCCAAATACCTTAAAATCTCCCTTAAAGTGGTACTGGTTTCTCTCCTCTGGCTGTGTCTGACAGCGGTGTGGCAACGTCTGCTACCTCCGCCAGCGCAGGGCATTGTGTTTGAGCTCTGGAGGTCCGCTCCAAATGCCAAGGACCGAAAGAGTTTGGATGCTTTGCCCTGGGGATGAAACAGGTGAGTGGGTCGCCAATTGCCCACTCACTCCTCTTTACCATTTTATTTCTTTCTATTTTGCTGTTGGTGGTTGCAAAACATCTTTTTTTTCTCATTCCTCCTTATTCTTCCATTCTCTCCCCCCCCCCAAATACCTTAAAATCTCCCTTAAAGTGGTACTGGTTTCTCCCCTCTGGCTGTGTCTGACAGCGGTGTGGCAACGCCTGCTACCTCCGCCAGCGCAGTCAGTTAACGCTAGGGTATTGTGTTTGAGCTCTGGAGGTCCGCTCCCCATGCGCAAGGACCGAAGGAGTTTGGATGCTTTGCCCTGGGGATGAAACAAGTGAGTGGGTCGCCAATTGCCCACTCACTCCTCTTTACCATTTTATTTCTTTCTATTTTGCTGTTGGTGGTTGCAAAACATCTTTTTTTTTTCATTCCTCATTCTTCCATTCACCCCCCCTCCCACCCCTCAAATACCTTAAAATCTCCCTTAAAGTGGTACTGGTTTCTACCCTCTGGCTCCGCCAGCGCAGTCTGTTAACGCTAGGGTATTGTGTTTGAGCTCTGGAAGTCCGCTCCCCACGCCAAGGACCGAAGGAGTTTGGATGCTTTGCCCTGGGGATGAAACAGGTGAGTGAGTCGCCAATTGCCCACTCACTTCTCTTTATCATTTGTGGTTTCATTTTTATTTACTATCTCACTTTTTTCCTTTTTCTATCTTTTTCACTTTCTTTCTTATGATTCAAATTAAATGTGCGCATGCACATTCGGATCTGACATCGGCAGGGGTTGGAGAGTTCCCCAGCCCAGTGGGAGTACGGCGCTGGAGAAAGGTAAGTGGCTGAAGGGATTTTAACCCATTCATCCCAGCGGGACAGGGACCCTGAGGGTGATCGGACCTAATGAGCCTATAGTGGCAGGAAAACAAGTTTGTTTTGCTGGCACTATAGTGCTCCTTTAACTTCTCCTCTACCAGACAGCCACCAGAGCAGGGGTTCCAAACCCGGTCCTCAAGTACCCCCTACCAGTCCCGGATTTAGGGATTACCCTGTTGTGTCTAAAGTGTTTTTTGTTTTTTCACCCAAAACGCCTTAGGCACAATTGAGTAATCCTTCAATCCTGTACTTTTAGGGGGAACATGAGGACTGGGTTGGGAACCACTGTGCTAGAGGGACTTCCTGTGCTCTATCAGAAATCTGTATCTATCAGATTTCTATACCTAGGTCACTTCCGGTGCACCCACATCACTGTAAGTAAAATAAAAAAATGTCACGTCACCTTAACTAAAATAAAAGGAAACAAATAAATAGGGCTAAATGCACGAACGGGATAAAAAAAAAAAAAAAGGGGCACTGGTATCCACAAAAATGGGGTTTTGTCACAGTTACTTACTTTGCCAGCATTACGGGTGTAAGAGCATTATGGGGCATGTAGTCCAAAACATCGGGAGTGCCGAAGGTTGCCTATCCCTGCTCTAGTGATGGTCTTCTGAGCAGCCGCTAGAGGTACATCTGCAACTCTGAATTTCGCATCCATAGCAAAGCATTGAGAAATGCTTTCCTATGGACTCTTCAAATGTGCATTCTGCTCCACTCAGGAGCTGACGTCAGACGGGGCGGAGAGGGGTTTAAACCCCTTCAGCGCCATGGGAGGTGGACCCGCACAAACATAGTATACATAGAAGCCGCATTGACTTCTGAGTGGCGAGAAATGCGGGCGCCATCTTGGGACGGGCGATGTTGACAGCAGAGGTAAGAGGAAGGATAGGACTCAGTAAGTGTAGAGCAGGGATAATAGGAATGGTAGGACTCAGTTGGTGCAGAGTAGGGATAATGGGAATGGTAGTACTCAGTTAGTGCAGAGTAGGGATAATGGGAATGGCAGTACTACTGAGTACTACCATTCCCATTATCCCTGCCTGACTAAGTACTACCATTCTCATTATCAGTCAGTGCAGGGATAATGAGAATGGTAGTACTCAGTCAGTGCAGGGATAATGAGAATGACAGGTGGGCTTTCCAAGTGTTCTTCAATACCTTGAGTAGAGTGGTTCCCGTTCCAAGATGGCGGCTCTGTGGCTCATCAGTGCCAGCAGGCAGTAGCGGTCAATGTAGCATCTATGTATACTATGTCTATGTGGGCCCCCATCAGGGCACTATAGTGTCAGGAAAACCGCTTTGTTTTCCTGACACTATATTGATCCTTTAAGTTTTCTATGGCTACTTAACCCAATTATACCATGTGGGAGTATCCCTTGCTGGAGGACCTGCATAAAAGGCTGAGCTGGGGCCACCATTAAACAGACCATTTTACACCTTCATGAAGTCTGGGCTCATGTTTGGGGGATTGGGAGATATAATTCACAGGTATAAAACATAATTTAATATGAATAATATATTAAAGAATGATAGGAAATAAGATTTCTTTTTTTATTTCTGCATGACATTTTAACTGTGAATGTCATAATACGGTTTGCTTTTACTGCAATAAAACACATATATGTATTCAGCGATGTCTCACGTGTATAACAGTACTCCCTATGTACAGGTTTTATGGTGTTTTGAGAAGTTACAGAGTCAAATATAGCAAGTTACATTTTTCACGCTGAAATTCGCAAGATTGGTTATGTTGCCTTTGAGACCGTATGGTAGCCCAGGAATGAAAATGATGGCATAACATTTGCAATAGTAGACAAACCAAGGTATTGCAAATGGGGTATGTCCGGTCTTTTTTAGAAGCCACTGGGTCACAAACACTGGCCAAAGTTATTGTTAATATTTGATTGTGTGTGAAAAATGCAAAAAAATCTGAATGCCAATTTTGACCAGTGTTTGTGACTAAGTTGCTACTAAGAAAGACTCGACATGCCCCTTTTGAAATACCTTGGGTTGACTACTATTGCAAATGGTATGCCATCATGGGGGTAATTCTCATTCCTGGGCTACCATGCAGTCTCAAAGGCAACGTAACCAATCTGGCTAATTTTAATGTGAAAAAACTGAAACGCAAGCCTTATATTTGACTCAGTAACTTTTGAAAACCCCATTGTAGCAAACTCACCCTTTTAAGGGAGTTTGCCATGAGCTTTTGGAGGGGCCTGCTTGCCCACCACCTGCCCTGTGACTACGGCCCCTGGGATGTATTGTCCTTTAAGAACATATTTAGGCATAATAGATTTTTATTGTGCGACTAATGGCCCTTTAAGCACAGTGAATGGACTTTTATGTGTGTATGCCCCGTTAAGAACCATCTGGGGACATATTGTGACTTTTGGGAACAATGCCCCTTTAAGACTTTGTCCCCAGACTGTTAATATATTGTGTTCCTGGCTTTCTCCCACTTGGTTCAGTAAATGGGGCTTACTGAACCAGGTACCACACAGGTGGACCACCCAGAAGTGGAAGTGTGCAGGCAATTTACCTCTCAGGCTGGGAGCCTGCTGTAGGTAAATTGTCAAACGCTGGGGGGCCGCCCTTCGCGCAAACAAAAACGTGTCGGCGGCCATCTTTGTTCATTCTATGCGGTCAGCGGTGTGTGTAGCCAAATTCATGGAACTGAAATCGGCTACACAGTTCCGCGAAGCCTTACCTTCTCCCACAATGATTTTCCATTCGGCGATGGGACTTAGTCATTTTTTCAGTGTGAAATTCACCGACCGCACAGCGCAAATCTATGGAACTGTTTTGGGCATGAAAATGTGCGGGCATAAAGGGACCTCCAGCTAACTTTTTAACCCCTGGATGGAATTGGCTGAATTTTGACTATGTTTATAATTAAAGTATGCTGAATAATAATATGTCATTATGAATATTGAATGTATAGTTTTAAAGTTATAGTACACGTGTAAAAACTGTGTTTCTCTGCCAGTTATAATTACATTAACCCATTGTGTAAGGTAATTAAATCACAGGCAGAGGGGAGGATTTTGTCTGTAATTGCTGGGAGTGTCTGAGTGTATTGTACGTATTGATTGGTTGTTTTACAAAACCCTGTGGGCAGTACTATGTGTGCAAAATGTTCATAAAAGCAGTGTCTCATTAAAATCTTAATTTCTTCTTCACACTCAATTTGAGTCCTGTCTCTTATTGGGGGAATCTGCTACAAGGGATTGCTATGCTCTGCATGTTCCCTTGCTGTAATCACTCCTAAACTCTTGTAAGAGCTTGTTCCTGGTTTGCGCTCTGAAGGAGTCTACGGTGGTTATGGTGTCAGCTGGAGTGCTGGAAGCCCTCAGGAAGCACTAGGAGCATCCTCCAACGAAGGTAACCAGTCAGGGTGCCCGTCGATCCGTTACAACCATAAAACCTGTACATGAGGGATGCTGTTATACTCAGGAGACTTCGCTGAACACAAAAATTTGTGTTTCAAAACAGTAAAACGTATCACAACAATTATCTCGTCCGGATAAGTGCCATTTGTGTGTAAAAAAATGTCACTTTCACTGACGATAGCATCGTTGTTAATACATTGAAACACTAATATTTGTGATCAGCGAAGTAAAACAGTACCCCACATGTACAGGTTGTATGGTGTCATAGAAAGTTACAGGGTTATATACAGTGCTAGCAAATTAAATTCCCTGGACTTTTGGCCTTGGTTGTCAGTCAGGTCCTGCAAATTGTAATTAATAAAATGACCTAATTATGTAAAATTACAACATAAATATATACATAGAATTATTATTAGTGATGTACCGAACGGTTCGCCGGCGAACGGTTCCCGGCGAACATAGCATGTTCGCGTTCGCCAAGGCAGGCGAACATATGCACGGTTCGACCCGCCCCCTATTCATCATCATTGAGTAAACTTTGACCCTGTACCTCACAGTCAGCAGACACATTCCAGCCAATTAGCAGCACACCCTCCCTAGCAGACCCTCCCACCTCCTGGAAGGCATCCATTTTAAATTCATTCTCAAGCTGCATGCTTAGTGAGAGGAGGGAAAGTGTAGCTGCTGTTCATTAGATAGGGAAAAGCATAGCTAGGTTAGGGTTAGGGTATGCTTTTTAAAAAAAAAAAAATTCTATGTAATGTAATTGCAGTTAGTTGTCTGCCACTGCTGCCAGCTTCTGTGTCAGGCTCACAGTGCATACTGTGCCCATTTCCCCAGTCAGTGCCACCACTTACATCTGGTGTCACAATAGCTTGGATTTAAAAACAAAAAACTTTTTTCACTGTTATAGATTGAATAGCAGTCAGTTGTCTGCCACTGCTGCCAGCTTCTGTGTCAGGCTCACAGTGCATACTGTGCCCATTTCCCCAGTCAGTGCCACCACTTATATCTGGTGTCACAATAGCTTGGATTTAAAAACAAAAAACTTTTTTCACTGTTACAGATTGAATAGCAGTCAGTGTCCTTAAAGCGGGTGTGTTACGCTAACAGTGGATACGGTGACCAGTGCCACCACTTAGATCTGGTGTCACAATAGCTTGGATTTAAAAACAAAAAACTTTTTTCACTGTTATAGATTGAATAGCAGTCAGTGTCCTTAAAGCGGGTGTGTCAGCCCTACAGCGTGTACTCTGCCAGTTTACAGTGCCACTCATATCTGGTGTCATAATAGCTTGGATTTAAAAACAAAAAACTTTTTTCACTGTTATAGATTGAATAGCAGTTAGTTATCTTCAAGCAGGTGTGTCAGCCGTACAGCGTGTACTCTGCCAGTTTACAGTGCTACTCATATCTGGTGTCATAATAGCTTGGTTTTAAAAACAAAAAACTTTTTTCACTGTTATAGATTGAATAGCAGTCAGTGTCCTTAAAGCGGGTGTGTTACGCTAACAGTGGATACGGTGCCCAGTGCCACCACTCCCTGGTGTCATAATAGCCTGGATTTAAAAACAAAAAACTTTTTTCACTGTTATAGATTGAATAGCAGTCAGTGTCCTTAAAGCGGGTGTGTTACGCTAACAGTGGATACGGTGCCCAGTGCCACCACTTATATCTGGTGTCATAATAGCTGGATTTAAAAACAAAAAACTTTTTTCACTGTTATAGATTGAATAGCAGTCAGTGTCCTTAAAGCGGGTGTGTTACGCTAACAGTGGATACGGTGCCCAGTGCCACCACTTAGATCTGGTGACACAATAGCTTGGATTTAAAAACAAAAACTTTTTTCACTGTTATAGATTGAATAGCAGTCAGTGTCCTTAAAGCGGGTGTGTTACGCTAACAGTGGATACGGTGACCAGTGCCACCACTTAGATCTGGTGACACAAAGCTTGTATTTAAAAACAAAAAACACTTTTTTCACTGTTATAGATTGAATAGCAGTTAGTTATCTTCAAGCGGGTGTCAGGCCTACAGCCTCTGCTCTGCACAACTGTGCCAGTGCACATTGCCACTCATATCTGGTCTCACAGTAGCTTGCACGCATAGTACCACTAATCCCAACAAAATGACAGGCAGAGGCAGGCCACCCCGCAGGGGCCATCGTGGTCGTGGTGCTGTGATTCCCTTTGGCCCTAGAATAATGCCCAGTTTTCAGAGGCCACGTACCCTGAACTTGAAAAGTTCTGAGGACATAGTTGACTGGCTAACACAGGACACCCAATCTTCTACAGCCTCCGCTCAGAACCTTGACGCACCATCCTCCTCCAGCTTAGCTTCAGGCACCTCTCAAGATACCACTCACCCGCCTGCCGCCACCACCAAAACTAGCACCACAGCCGCTTCGGTTGGTATGTCAGAGGAGTTATTCACACATCCGTTTGAAGAAATGAGTGATGCGCAACCATTATTGCCAGAGGATGTAGATAACAGGGATATGTCTCAGGCAGGCAGCATTACACACATGGACGTACGGTGTGATGATGATGATGATGTTGTACCCGCTGCTGCTTCCTTTGCTGAGTTGTCAGATACAAGTGAAGCGGTTGATGATGACGATGCGTCCATGGATGTCACGTGGGTGCCCGCTCGTCAAGAAGAAGAACAGGGTGAAAGTTCAGATGGGGAGACAGGGAGGAGGAGGAGACGAGTTGGAAGCAGGGGGAGGTCGTCGCAAGGAGCTAGTGGCACAGTCAGACAGCATGCATCGGCACCCGGGGTCAGCCCGACAGCACGCCAATCAACGCATGCTGTGTCCACCACCAGAATGCCGTCATTGCAGAGCTCAGCAGTGTGGAATTTTTTTGTGTGTCTGCCTCTGACAACAGCGATGCCATTTGCAACCTGTGCCAAAAGAAACTGAGTCGTGGGAAGTCCAACACCCACCTAGGTACAACTGCTTTGCGTAGGCACATGATCTCACATCACAAACGCCTACGGGATCAACACATGAGTACAAGCAAAAATAAAAATACAAATGGTGAGAGCACTCAAATAAGATAATTACGGTACAATTACCCAAGCTGGATTACCATCTGAAAGTAAACACAGATAAAAGAAAAACATAGGGTAATAACGTAATGATAAACAATTACAGACTCTATTACTGGTCGCACTCACATAAAAAGAGCCACTTGAAAGCTGGCTCAAACTTGCATGCCTTGAATCACAAACTCTCTCTGGGCTTTCTCTGGGTCCTTTCTTGTAGTTATGTTCCATGCACCACCAGGAAATGCAGGTTCAAGGGGTAACAATACACTTTATTATAAAAGGAATAAAAACTGTACATAAACAAAGGAAGTCCCTTAATAATAAAAGTCCACAGAGCACCTGACGCGTTTCGGCAATAAGCCTTCATCCGAGGTGATTCTCATGATCCACGGCATGCTGTTTTATATGTTGTTCTCTCGCGCCCTTTTTCGCCGCATTCGCGGCACTTTACTTCCGGGTCTGACGTCGAGACGCATCCTGCGTCATCACGTCCCGACGTCTATCCTCACTTCCGGTCGGGGAACAAATTGGGACGTGTCGGAAACGTCATTGAAAACGGAGCATCCTTCAATTATATTGCTCCTAACATTTAAACG